CTTTTTCTGCTGAAGTAATTCCATTTCACGTTTACTTGATAATGTTTAATGGTCGTATACTTAGCGGGTTGGTATGAATACAGAAACGTACAATAATTTTTAGTGATTCCATTATGCGTTTATTTGATTATATTTAATGCCTGATTGGTCCTATACTTTGAGGGTTGGTATGAATGCTGAAACGTATGATATTTTTTGCAATCTGTGACTTCAAGTTATCTAGTGCTAACAATTGAGCTGTAAGCAAGCTTAGTTGGGTTGCCTGCAATTGTACGCTATGGTCCCCAGAAGCATGGTTTCGTTGAAATGAGACTATTTTCGAAGATAAGTGCCCAATTAGATTGTGCGTTTTGATTTCTTGTTCAAGATTTTTCGATTCATTGTCTTTTGGTCTGTGTTGCAAATACTTTATGATGCTCTCCACCTTCGCGTGCAATTGGTTAACAGATACAGACAATTCTTCATTATGTTTATCTAGCTTGAAATCGTTATTTATATCATTAGCATCTCGCGATATCTCGGATGAGAAATAATTCGGATGGTTCACTATAGTAGAAGTGGCAATATTTTCGGTCTCATTTGCCAATATTGATGTACGGAGAGGCAACGACCTATTTTCATGTAAAAAGCTCTTAAATGGTTCTGCACCTTCCGCATTATGAAACTTACCCATGTTTATTAGTGTGAATATGAGATGCTTCTCTTGTACCGACGTACGCTTTTGATAATCCTGTAATTGTCTCAAAACAGACAACGTAGCAGAATTCGGATCTTGTTCGTTAATTAGTTGGTAGAAACCTACCATAGTATATTGTGGGAGAACTGCATTAAACTGGTCCAACCTCTTCTTCAAGAACTCTGTGCTGATATCTAAGTCATTATCAAATAGCAATTCAAACGACGTGGTCACCGTGATCGTAGTCTTATCAGTAGTTCCTAATAAAATACCAAATTTGCTCTTCTCTTGTCGCGTTATATGGTCCGAAAGATTGAATAATGCAATGGAATGTAATTGAACAGTGCTAATATCCGACATATTCGGTATATTCAACAAAAGCTATAGTAATGATGTTTCCAATATATCAACTGGTAAGTGTTATACTTTACTAACGTAATTGATGGCGACATTCATAAATTATTTGCGACATTGATGCGGC